TCGTGTCACTTTTACACACACCCTCCGGAGACCGTCATTTTAAAAAACTTCTCTCTCATGAGCTCTGCGATTGTTTGCCCAGAGCGCTGTCTTGCAGGCGAACTCTGGGGAAACGCTGAGCTGCAGGTTGCCGGAATGAAGAGGGCTGGATTCTGACGGGCGGGGCTGGTGGTGGAACTGAGCGAGAGCCGCGGCCTTGGAAAAGTCAATGCTTGCTCGCGACGGTCCCTCCAGCGGGCCGGGATGAGCCGCGCGGCTTGATGAGGTGGCGCACAGCCTCTGGCACCTCCTCCGACTGCTTCAATTCGCCAGCATGGTTGAAGCTGCTCTGAACAGCGCGTCCGCGATGGGGCTTCATCAGGTCTTGTGCAGTTTCTCCGGCAGCGAGGGGAGTAACGAAGCCAGGTGGATCGTTGGATCATCGTCATCCACGCTGCAATCCTCGACAGGCAAACCGTAGGAGAGGCACACATGTTGAGCTGACGTCAGCTGCCTTACAGAGGGAGTTCTTTGTCTCCAAGGCAGGTCTGCGGCCTTCAGTCCCTTGGACATGCTATATGCTAGCAGCGCCACGTTGTTGCTAGCTGCGGCTGCCTGAAAAACACATTGGTGGGCTCGATTGGAGAGCGTGGTCACCGTCTGGTTCGTGTTCCTCCGGAGGGACGGGACGCTGCTCCGACCTGGGCAGCTTCGCTCCAAAAGCTTCCGCGAGGCTTGGCTCCAGGGGGGTTACCGAGGAATAGCCCCGCTCAGTGAATCCCTCAACTCTGGTGATGGGTGCGGACTGGGGACCGACTCCCCCAATCTACCAGGAAAGAACCGTCTGTGGCCTCGCCCGTCGAACGTCCTGTTGGAACACGAGGCCGTATGGATCAAGACGGTGAGCCAGAGTGGAGCCCAGTGAAACAACCTTCCCGCCGGATCATCCGAACTGGCGGGAAAAGGTGTGGGACGTAGAAAAAAAGGGGTCCCTTCATGTCAGCCTCCTCCTGGGTTCCGCCGGGCAACCGTGAGGGCGCTGTCGGCCGGGAGCAGTGTGATCGCCGATGCGAAAACGAGGTGGGATGGGGTGAGCATTCACTCAGCCCCCCTCCACCTACACTACGCTCCCCAGGAGGGAATGAGCAGCGGGGGCTGCAGCTGAGCACGCCTTGTCCCGGAGGAACCATCCGGTTCGCCCCGAGGGTCGGCGATAAGAGGAAAAAGTACAAGATGGCGTTGTCCAGCGTGTAGTGACCTGTCACTGGGAAATATTCCCCGGCGCTTACCTTGGAATAAGACTGCTCGTCATCTTCTCCTCGGGGAGGAGAACTCACCGGACGACCGGAGGTCGACTGCCGGGCCAAGCATCCTTAACAAAGGTTGGTCATTTACACAATTTACCTTCTTTGTTCTTCTGACAGTGCTATTTTTAGCTCACTGAAGAAAAAATGGGAGCCGATTTCCCGCTCTTAACGTAATTTATACGGACCGGGTGGGGCCCACACAGCAGGTGGGCGTGGACTAAATTTTTTCAGTGCTTATGCTGCGCATAACGGGATAAACCCATCAGCGACAGCCTTAAAGGGCGAAGCCTATGTAGTGAACTTAACCTGATGTCAAAACTAAGCCTAAGGTCAAAACCCTTGACCTTAAGAACCTTGTGGGACAGAAACTGTCATTTCATTGATTTGAATCCAGAAATACAGGTTCACCCATCCTGAGACTTTCTTTCTTGAAAATCAAGTGAAAGAACACTCTCTTTTTTATTATCATTACTATTTTACAAATGTTGATAATCAAAGTGTCTTAGTTCAAACCATTTTAGATGTTGCAGTGAACTAATCAATTTTATTAACTGTGAAACAGTGTAATGATTTTTTAATCCTCATGCAAAGTTAGAATTCATGTTAAGGCCTGTTACAGAGTAATCATGTATTTTCTGATTTCTGTCTTTGAATGAGCAAGTGTAAGTTTTGTCCAAGGTCGGAGTTGAAGCAGACATGTGTCTTGTTTTAAAATCCTCTCAGACGAAAACAGAGGAGTTGGCACCTGTTTCTCCAAACTCGCCAAAATATTTCTCTCGCCTGTCTGAGAACAGTTTTAATCTGTTCCATAACAATTCTTGCTGTTTTCTGACTTCTAGTAACCTCTTACATCACAAAACACACCCCTGTCTGGTTGATATTGACCAATCAGGGACGCTCAAATATACCGGAAATAGAGCTCTTTAAAATGCCGGTACTTCCTAGTTCTCTCAGTTCGGTGGAGCGCGGAGAAGTTCTGAGATGTTCGCAGTTCTGTGAAGTCGTTTGGGAGAACAGAAGTCCAGCCATGATAAGGCTCTTCCGAGTTGGATTATAACATCTTCCACCTCTGAGTGGAACTTCTGAAGGACTCCACTCATGTGAAGTCCACTTGCTGAAGTGAGCTGTGTCGGACGGAATCTCGTCACTACTTCGGACGAGTCACAGCCATCCTATGGAGACGCTGGACAGGTAGCGTTAACTGGAACTCCATATCTGCTGATTCATTTTCAGAAAGGTAATGAGTCAAGTTTCCTACCAAGCGTACCGAGGAAAAGCTGGGTTCGAATGGAGAGTGTCGGTTCTGGTCAACACTCCCCCTCACACACCATCTTTTACTCCCTTTAAACTTCATTTCCATCTTTAAATTCTTCTCTCAAGTAGAAATCCTTCCAGATAATTTAGAAATGTCTGTGTAAAGTGCTCATCCACCGCCGTGTGGATAATTGATCATAATTGTACAGTTTTCATTAATGTCTGTGGTGAAGCCACGGAAAATCATGGCCGTATGGTTTTCCTGGTTGTAAAGCTGATTGATTATGTTGTTATTTTCATATTTTGCCAAATTAATGTAAATGTTTGATGTTAAACTTTGATTCTGTAAAATAAATGACCGCATTCATTTTGATGGGTCAAAGAAAAATGACGTCTCACGTTACATTTCATTAAATTCAATGCACGTTTTATTCAGTCCAGAAAAATGAAGAATCCGTTTTAATTGATGAATATATCTCAGCATCTGTTCATCTACACCTATATGACATAGAACCTTTGTTTTCTACAACTGATAGTGGTTGGTCATTAATTATGATGAAGTTTAACTACTTCTCGGTAAATATTCGAGCTCCGTGGTTTCATCGACGTCTACTTCTTGTTCAATCCGAAGCAGGCAGCCTGCTTTGGGGCAGCTGCGCTCAGTCTGTCCCTCCTCAGAGACGAGCAGACTGAGCGGGGCAGATTGGACACGGCTGGCCGGGGTCTAGTCGCCTCTTTCGGTTTGACCAAAGAGTAGTGCCCCGCTGAAGCCACGAGCTCGAATGTCCATTGTAAAACTAACTTTAACGTGGTTTAATGTGGCGCTATGGCTCTGTAGACATTGCACATTGCTGTCTTGTTTTGTGGTGTTTCTAGTGTAAAATAATTCCACACAGCGGACATGTTTCGATGAAAAGTTTGTTAGCTATTAGCCACAGTGCTGCTAACTCAGCCCCACGTTGTAGCTGGCTGCAAACCATGAAATGGATTTCTTGAATGTGAGGCGGGTCTTATTACTCTGCGCTCATGAGACACGCCGCCGTTCAGGAAATCCATTCCATAGTTTGAAGCCAACATGCGTCATGGATCAGAAATATCGGCAGGTGGATCGGAAAAATCCGATACGTAAATTATGCTGGTATCGGAGGCCGATACCGATACTGGATCGGATCGGCCCCATCCCTACTTTTTATTAACAACATATAAACACAGAACACTGCTGTGGCTGAGGCTGCCAGCGCTAGTTTTTTTCCCCCAACCTGTCAATCAATCCAATAGGCGTGTCAGCAAATGACCAATCGGCGACCTCAATTTGTCCCGAAGGTAAATGCCCCTTGTCTGTGAAGCTGCTCTGCAGCTGCTCAGTGTGTACGCTGGAGTACAAAGTCTGAATCCTCTGCGTACAGTACACAGGTACGTACGCGTGAATGGACGTACGCGGCAGTATACTGGAAGCTTTAGACTATTCTTTTTGCTAAATCCTATAGTTAGGGTCGGCTTGGGTTTCCTGAGCTGTCCCTTAGTTATGCTGCTACAGGCTTAGACTGCTGGAGGACTGACCACACTTTTTCACTCTGCTACTGTCTTTACTGACTCTGCTCAACCTGTTTTGTATTTGTAATTATTTTTTCTTTCCTTAACATATGATTTTGTCTTTCAGGTACACCTGGACCTATATCTGGACCTACCATTCTGTGTTTGTTTGTTTCTCCTTCCTGTCCTCTCAAACCACCTGGTCAAAGCAAATGGTCGCTTGTCCTGAGCCTGGTTCTGCTGGAGGTTTCTTCCTGTTAAAAGGGAGTTTTTTCTTTACACTGTTGTCATTGTGCTTGCTCAGGATGGGAGACTGCAACGAAGCCAAGATTCAACTTGTCTGCTGGATTCATAGATAGATAGCTTTACTAATTGGCTTTTTTATGTATGTGAATGCTCCTGTAAAGTGTCCTGAGACAGCTTTGTTGTGATTTGGTGCTATATAAGTAAACTGAATTGAATTGAATAGAAAGATGCCCTATCCTCAATTGTTCCCTGGGTGCTTTCAATAACTGCCCACTGCTCCACCTGTGGGTGGATGGGTTAAATGCAGAGAGCAAATTTCACCATTGTATGGGAACATACAATGATGACAATACATAACACATTATTATTATTATTATTATTATTATTTTTATTATCATCCCCTTTTCCACATCTTCATGTCTAAAGACACTGTGTTGCTGCCATGTGATTGGCTGATTAGCTTATTTGTGCTAAAGAGCAGTTGAATAGGTCTGCCTAATAAAGTGGCCTGTGAGTGTAGCTTTTAATTCTAACTGTGGCTTTTTAAAACTTATGTTTCATGTAAACAGTCTGATCTGTGTTAGACTAACAGAGTTGGGAGTGCAGCAACGTAAAGTTCCTCCCGTCAGATCACGAGTTTCATTTCCCGTCTGATTATGTTCACTGGGTCAGCAAGTCATCACAGCTCCAAACCGAAGAGGACTCGAATGGTGAGTAAAATAATCTCCCTTAACTTGGTGAGGAGTATTCTCAGACTTTTGCATCTGGTTTAAATCACAGTAAGTTCGTAAGTTCCATAAGTTCCTGATTCAGCTTCTTTCCTTCAGGCAGCCAATAATTTATTTTTTGGATCATTTTTCTGTTTTCGTCCTTGGAAAATTTTGTCAATATGAAATCTGCCTTTACAAAGTCTCTTAATCTTCACCAGATTTATCAGAGTCAGAGACATTTATTTGTTATTCGCATCTTGTGGTGCATGTGGTGGAACGAGATTATGTATGCAGGGTACCATTTACATCCAACAATAAAATGTAAAAGAAAAACAGTAATAAGATCTAAGATATGAACTAAGAAAAGCATAATCTAAATAATACACTAAGCACTAAAAGCATAAAAACATTATGTCGAATAGCAGCACGAACATGAGTCTGTTTGAGCAGATGAGCACGCTTGAGCACAGCAACATGAAAGATCAGCAGCAACATGATGTGATTTTTCACAGTGATTATCCTGGTTAGATATTAATGAGTCTAACAGCCTCAGTGTAGAAGCTGTTCCTCAGTCTAGTGGTTCTACACTTAATGCTCCTCAAACTCCTGCCTGAGTGGAACGGGGAAAAAGGTGTGTGTGCTGGGTGAGTGTGGTCCTTCACAATGCAGGTGGTCCTCTTCCTGCATCTAGAGGTGTAGATGTCTGTGATGGTGGGGAGGCTGACTCCAACATCTTCTGTGCAGCCTTCTCCAGTCTCTGCAAATCTTTTCTTTCTGCAGCTGTGCAGCCTCCATGCCACACATTGATGCTGGAGCACAGGATGCTCTCCACTGCACACCTGTAGAAGGAGGTGAGGACTGAGCTTCCCAGACCAGCTCGCCTCAGCCGCATGAGGAAGTAGAGTCTCTGATGAGCTTTCTTGATCAGGCTGGTGGTGTTGTTGCTTCAGCTGAGGTTGTCATTCATGTGTACACCCAAGTACTTGTAGCTGGAGACCACTTCCACTGCAGATCCTTTTATGTTCAGGGGGGTGTAGGTGAGTTTGTTCCTTCTGAAGTCCACGATCATCTCCTTTGTCTTCTTCACATTGATGTGAAGGTTATTCTCTCTGCACCAGCTCTCCAGGTGTTCCACCTCCTGCCTGTAGCTGGACTCATCATTGTTTGTGATGCATCCCACCACCGCTGTATCATCTGCAAACTTTACAATGTGACAGCCTGGATGGGTAGCTGCACAATCATACGTGAGCGGAGTAAACCGGAGGGGGCCCAACACACATCCCTGAGGAGAGCCAGTGCTGAGGGTTATGGTGGAGGAAGAGAAGTTGTGGATCCTCACTGACTGTGGTCTGTTTGTTAAGAAGTCTAGTACCCAGTTGCAAATTGAGGAACTTAGTCTTAGAGTGAGTAGTTTGTCCATCAGGGTTTGGGGGATTGAGGTGTTGAAAGCAGACGTGAAGTCCACAAAGAGCATACGGATGTAAGAGTCCTTCTGCTCCAGGTGGGTGAGAGCAGTGTGGACCACAGAGGAGATGGCATCCTCTGTTGATCAGTTCTTGCGGTATGCATACTGATGAGGGTCCTCATTGATGTTGATGGTTGTTTTGATGTGGCTTTATGTTTCTGAAACAGGATTTAAGACTAATATCATTAAAAATAAATTGTGATAGCACAACGTCTGGTGTTCCTTTAAATATATATTTTTCTTTCTGGTTGTGTTTTTGTCAAGCTTTAGAAATGGTTATTTCCTACACAGTTTCTTTTTTTTTTTTTTAATCTTGTTTTTACTTCCATCTTCTTCTTCATCTCAGTGTATTTATTTGGACCTTTTGAACCATGGGAGCTCATCAGAACCTTGCAGTTCTGGTCAGCGTGGCCTCGTTGCTGCTGAATGTCCAATGTGATGTGGGTTGTAAGGGAACCAACGGACATCCGGGAGCGGATGGAACTCCTGGAAGAGATGGGCTGCCTGGAGTGAAGGGACAGAAGGGAGAGTCAGGTAACATATCCCTTCTTAACACTAAAAGGCAATGAAAAAAACTAAATTCTGCAAAATGCTAAAAAAAAAAATTCTGAAAGTAGTAAATCAATGCAAAGAAGCTTAAAGTAACTAACACTTTCTAAAACCTAAAAAATGTCAAATTACAGCTAAGAATCTAGCTACAAGCTAAATGCTGCAGAAAGGTAGCTAAAAAGCAAAGAGCTATTGGTAAGTTCTGGCCATTTTGGTAAAACCTTCAAAATAATGCCTTGCTCAGGGTTTGTGCTGTGAGGGACTGTCAGCTGCTACCACATGAAATTTTAGTTTAGTATCTGGACAGTTGAGCTAATTATAGCTATTTATATGCTAGCTAATCTTGATAAGCTTTGGCAGCCATATTGAATTGTATTGGCTCCACAAAAAAAAGCAGTTGTTGATGTACATCCAAGGTTTTTATTATTTTTGAGTTTTATTAAATCCATTCTGTGGTTCTAGAGATATTTTGCTAACAGACTAACAGATTAAAAAAACATTTAACCTTGAGTTTAGAAATTTACTGATGGTTTTATGAAGGCTGGATGTACGTAAATTAGAATGTATTGATAAATAACAGTACAGCGTTTCATTTACCATTTTTATACAAAATGTTCTCCAGCTGTGCTGGTCGATGGTCCCGTGGATCCAGTCACCCTGTTGGAGCTCAAAGGGGACCAGGGGAGTCCAGGCCTTCCTGGGGTCATGGGTCCTGTAGGATATAAAGGTCAAGTAGGAGCAACTGGTCGTATTGGACAGCCTGGTCCCCCAGGTCAAGCAGGGAAGAACACCGCCTCTGGTAAATGCACACACAGATCCATGATTATTAGGCTAACACAGAAACCATATGGTCTTGTCAGGTGAAGAACATAAACTACAGAGAACCAACAAGATCTCAAAGAACACACAACCTGTCGGAAAACACACAAAACCTGAAGAAAATTAATTAAACATTCTGTTCTGAATACCATACCATACCATACCATACCACTTTATTTATAGAGCACTTAAAACAGCGACAAAGCCAACCAAAGTGCTGTACAGACAAAACAACAGGTAACACACAAAGCAAAATACAAAATGAGGTAAATCAGAATATAGACGTAAAAACGATGCAGATAATGACGATAAACCAGTGTGGAGCATACAGGATCAAAACACAGATCATCTGGTGTTGAAAGCTACTGAATAGTAGTGAGTTTTTAAACGGGACTTGAAAACCGAGAGGGAGGGGGCCTGTCTGACAAGCAGAGGTAACTCGTTCCAGAGTCTTGGTCCTGCTACAGAGAAGGCCCTGTCACCTCTGCGCTTAAGACGAGTTCCTGGAACTGTGAGGAGCACCTGGTCCGCTGACCTCAGGGAACGTGGTGGGACATACGGTTGTAGCAGATCAGAGAGATCGGGGGGCGGAACTGTTCAGTGATTTGTAGACATACATCAGTATTTTTAACTGGATTCGAAAGTGAACCGGTAACCAGTACAGTGAGGCCAAAACTGGTGTAATGTGCTCTCTTTTGCCTGTACTGGTTAAAAATCGGGCTGCTGCATTCTGGACCAGTTGAAGTCGTGCAATGGAGGTTCGACTGATGCCACACAGGAGCGAATTGCAGTAATCAAGCCTAGATGTAATGAATGCATGTATTACTGTCTCCAGGTTATTTTTGGACAATATGGGCTTCGGTTTAGACAGCCGCCTCAGTTGGAAGAAACATGATTTAACAATCATGTTTACATGATTAAGTTTCAGGGAAGGGTCCATTATCATGCCCAGATTAGTGACTCTTTGTTTTTTTGACAGTGTTAGAGCGGAGAGGTCGATGCAGTGGTTTGTGATCGTGTCATTGGGAGGGAACAACATGACTTCAGACTTCTTTTCATTGAAACTTAAGAAGTTTAAAGCCATCCAGTCTCTGATGTCAGTCAGGCAGTTGAGCAGCGGTTGAATCGAGCATGTACCATTGTGTCTTAGGGGGAAGTTAATTTGACAGTCATCGGCATAGAAGTGGAAGGGCATGTTGTGTTTCTGGAAAATAGCACCAAGCGGCAGCAGGTATAAAGAGAACAGGAGGGGACCCAGGATGGACCCCTGCGGAACCCCCCATTTAAGCTCTGCCACTGCTGAACTAAAATCCTTGATGGAGACACAAAAGGATCTGTCAGTGAGGTAGGATCTGAACCAATTGAGGGCTGACCCTGTGACGCCCATCCACTGCTCTAACCTAGCAATGAGGATCTCATGGTCGATGGTGTCGAAGGCGGCTGTGAGGTCCAATAGGACAAGCAGCACAGAATCACCAGTATCTGTGGATCTGAAGATGTTGTTAAAGACCTTCAGCAGGGCAGTTTCAGTGCTGTGGAGAGGTTTAAAGCCAGATTGGAATAGCGCTAAGATGGCTTGACCTTCCAAGAAGCACTTCAACTGGGACTCGACTATTTTCTCTAGTACTTCAGAAACAAATGGGAGTTTGGAGACAGGCCAGAAGTTGGACACGACTGAGGGGTCAAGGTTTGTTTTTTTCAGGAGAGGCTGAACGGCAGCATGTTTAAAGGTTTTTGGCACCACGTCAGTGGATAAACTACTGTTTACTATATCAAGAATGGACGGACCTAGAGTGGGAAAAACCTCCTTTAGTAGTCGAGGGGGGACCACATCAAAGGGGGAACCAGAAGGTTTCAAGCTGCACATGACCTGCTCTAGAGAAGATAGAGTGATGGGTTCAAAATGGTCAAATGGAGCTACAGACTGAGGTGGGATGGATGGATCATGAGTTGGAGGGGAAATGAGAGCCCGGGTGGTCACAATTTTTTCCAAAAAGAAATGCAAGAAGTTGTCGCACAGCTCAGTCGAGGCTTCCAGAGGAGATGGTTCAGTGAGGTGGAGAACAGAGTTTAGGATGGAGAAGAGGACACGTGGGTTGCGAGAGTTTGAGGTTATGATATCAGAGAAGTACTGTATTTGGATTTTGCAGCTTTCACTGTTTCCTGATAACGGCGCCAACTCTCTTTAAGTATTTGAAAAGAGACCTGCAGCCTGTCTTTCCTCCACTTTCGCTCTGCCCTCCTACATTGCTGCCTAACGGCCTTGGTGACATCACTCAGCCAAGGTTCTGCTCTGAGTTTTGATTGTTTTGGTTTTAACAGGTGCAACATGATCCAGTGTCTTTAAGCAGACAGAGTTGAACTGGGATGTCAGCTCCTCAGTGGTGGAGAGAAACACCGGGGGCTGAATTATCAATTCAGAGTTATAAACATCTGTGAAACGTGCGGCAGTGAAATGGTTAATTGCCCGGGTGCTACATGCAGGAATGCACGATTTAGGAGTTAGATGGGGAGGGTGAACTCAAACTGGACTGGCATGTGGTCTGAAAAAACATTATCACCAATAACAAGATTACTAACAGTCACATCATGAGTTAAGTCCAGAGGTACGCTCATAATGGTCTAAATAAGCGACATTAGTGACAGAAAAACGAAGATCCAGAAGCTGTTGTCGGTCATACATGAGTGAATTCATGCCACAGATAAAAAATGAACAAAACAGAAATAATCCGAACACCATCAGCAGAGGTGGATTGCAAGCCATGCACACGGGTGCCATCTTACCAGAAGTCCTGAATGACTATTAAAGTCTGCTGTTGCTTCTTTCGAGCGGACCGCTGCAGCGAGCTAACGGGGAAATCACGGGGAGGTGGGGTGTACATTTACGTGAGTAAAAGTTGGTGCACGAACTGTACTGAACCGGTAAGATGGCGCCCGTGTACATGGCCTGCAATCTACCTCTGACGATACTGTTTGGATTATTTTTGCTTTTTTCGTTTTGTGTCTGGGATATCAACTCGCTGCTTGTGTATGACCGACAACAGCTCCTCGATCTTCGATTGTCTGTTTTTGCTGTCGCTGATTCTGACCATTTTGATCGTGACTCGGGACCCCCCCCCTCTCCCACCCCTTCTGGCAGACGTGCCTGCTTGTTTACGCTGGGCCCCAAGCCTGCCTTCTAGGAGATATCGATCCAGACGCCGGGGAAAACGTGCCGGCCGGCTGGTAAAACTCAAAGCTCTGCGTGGTCAACGTTTCCACAGCCAGCCTCCTACGTGCCCGGACCAGGTGAGTGCTTTTGAACTCGGACATTCCCCTCCCGTTCTGTGTGCGATTGTTTATCGCCCCCCTCGTTCCAAGGACTTCATAAGTGAATTCTCTGATTTTCTGGCTTACATCACACCAAGATATGATCACTTTATTATCGTTGGTGACTTTAATATTCACGTCTGTTGTCAGGAGAAGCCGTTAGTGAAGGACATCCTTGATTTGTTGGACTCATTTAATTTAACTCAACATGTAAATGCTCCCACCCAACAACACGGTCACACTCTGGATCTCATTTTAACACGTGATGTCTCTGTTTGTAATCTGGTAATCGGTGACAACGTTCTTTCAGACCACTTGCCTGTCTTGTTTGATATCATCCCGCCTTGTCCTACTGCTAATTCATGTGATTCTGCACGTACTTCACGCGCCATTAACCGTTTCACTGCTGCACGTTTTACTGAAACTTTTAGCTCTGAGAAGATCGATCAGCTCTCAGTGTCTCTCTCCACCGAGGAGCTAACCTCTCAGCTTAACTCTGTTTGCTTAAATATTCTGGACCGTGTTGCCCCTGTTAAAACCAGGAAAACAAAACTTTTATCAGAACCATGGCTTAATGACGTCACTCAAGCCGTTAGACAGCAGTGTAGGAGAGCAGAACGCAGGTGGAGGAAAGACAGGCTGCAGGTTTTTTTCAAATCCTAAAGGAGAGTTGGTGTCATTATCAGAAGGCAGTTAAAGCCGCCAAATCGAAGTTCTTTTCTGCGATAATTGCCTCAAACTCCCACAACCCCCGAGCCCTTTTTTCCACCCTGAACTCAGTTCTACACCTCAGTGAACCTTCCCCTCTAGAAGCCTCAACTGAGCTGTGTGAAAACTTCCTCCATTTCTTTTCTGAAAAAGTTGCAAACACCCGGGCACTCATTTCTCCACCTGCTCATGATCCGTCCATCCCATCTCATTGTGTTGCTGTTCTGTGCTGGGCCAGAAGATCAACATCATCAGGCCAGGACTCTGCGGTCTACACTCATCTCCAGGCCAGCGGTCACTCTTTCAGGGATGAAGATGTGCACATCCTGGATAGAGAGGAACGATGGTTTGAGAGAGGAGTAAAGGAGGCCATCTTTGTGAAAAGAAACCGTCCATCATTAAACAGGGGTGGAGGCCTACGTGTTCAATTGTCCCCCTCTTGCAATGCTGTGATTGCTAGTATCACTCAGCCCTCTGTGAATAGTACACAGCCATCAGTGTGCTAATGATCCATTGTTAGGCTGATGGTCCTTCTTGAGCATGTGATCAGCTGGTTTTGGTTGTCAGCAGCAAAACTGGTTGATCCACTCTGAGAAGGTGCTATTTAAGAGACTGAGCTGAAAACAGCACCTCAGACTGAAGAAGTCTCTCGGACGAGAGACGAAACGTTTCTACATTTTTTTGTTGATTTGCTTTGTTTTGTTTTTTTGAATGTCCAGAGGACCAGATTTAACTTTTTTAGATTTTTCTACCTGGATTATTGAGCATGCATCAGGTTAACCAAAACTGGTTCGGTGGATTGGACCCGGTGTTACACCACACTCTGTGACCTGCAACAGTGCAACTCCGCCCCCTACGGTCATACGGTGGTCACATAATATGACGTCACTATGGATACTCGATGTTAAATTTTTAACCTTGATAGATGTCCTAGCAATCGATGTGTAGATTACTCGAGTACTCTGTTAATGCCCTACTCTACAGTGACTGGTCTGAATGACTATCGGCCAGTGGCCTTCACCCCGATAGTCGCTAAATGCATCGAAAATCTGGTCATGACCCACATCTAAACAACCATCAACATCAACGAAGACCCTCATCAGTATGCACACCGTGAGAACCAATCAACAGAGGATGCCATCTCCTCTGCGGTCCACAGTGCTCTCACCCACCTGGAGCAGAAGGACTCCTACGTCTGTATGCGCTTTGTGGACTTCATGTCTGCCTTCAACACCATGATCCCCCAAACACTGATGGACAAACTATTCACACTAGGACTAAGCCCATCCATTTGCAACTGGGTACTAGACTTCTTAACAAACAGACCACAGTTAGTGATGATGCACAACTTCTCCTCCTCCACCATAACCCTCAGCACTGGCTCTCCTCAGGGATGTGTGTTGAGCCCCCTCCTGTTTACTCTGCTCACGTATGATTGTGCAGCTACCCATCCAGGCTGTCAAACTGTAAAGTTTGCAGATGATACAGCGGTGGTGGGATGCATCACAAACAATGATGAGTCCAGCTACAGGCAGGAGGTGGAACACCTGGAGAGCTGGTGCAAAGAGAATAACCTTCACATCAATGTGAAGAAGACAAAGGAGATGATTGTGGATTTTGATTGTCTGTCTGTCTGTCTAATCAACAGGTTCATCAGTATTATCGGTAAAAAGGGATTATTAAAGGCGTGATCATTGTTAAGATTGAGAATCTATATCCTTAGCATCCAGTGCTTCGACAACGTCATTAAAAAAACTTCAGCAAAGCAGTCATTGTGCTGTTTTTTTCCTGAAACCAGAAAGGGTGAAAATGAAAAGGTGTGGTTTACTGAAGAATGCCTTGTAGGAGGGATGTGATTTGAAGATGTCATCTGAAGCTCAATTTTAGATTTTTTTAGAAATTTAGAAATTAAAATGTTGAAGTTGTCTCTTGTTTTTTTTTTTTTTTTCAGGACAAGATCATTCTAACGAGGCAGCTCAATATTCAGCTTTTTCTGTCATCAGGACTGTGAGCAGCTATCCATCCATCAACCAGGTTCAGTCTGATGAACATCACCCGTCTCTGTCTCCTCTCTGCATCCTGTCCAATTAAAAAAAAAAAAGGTTTCCAGAAAAGAGCGACTCGCCAATTGGTGATCTTTATCTCAGCTTTGTGTGAGCTGAATCTGCTTAGCACAGCACTGCTGGATCATGTAACTCAAAAACACCTAAAATATAGTGTAAAACCAACAAACGATCAGTATACGAACTCTAACAAAAAATTTAAGGAATATAAAAAAGTTTATAGCAAATGCAATTCATATAAAGGGGTTAAATTCACTCTAAGCAGAGCATATTTTTAAGTGTTCTATCCCAATCAGGCCGGGATCTGATTTTTTTTTTTCTACCCTTAGCTTAGCATGGCTTCTGGTTTTATCACTTGCATTGTGTCAAATGTTTAGTTATAACACTGTGTCGTGTAACGCTAAAAGTACATGTATCAAATGTTTTACTATGTTGGCTCTGGAGGAATTAGCGTCAGAAGCATCTGTAATGTGGAGGGACACACACCATTGTGAAAAAAATTGTACAATAGTGTGAAAAAAGCGACATTTTATCTAGATTTCCTTTAATTCCACACATTTAATGCATGTTTCTCACCAAGTTTGTATAAATTCAGCTGTGGGTTTGTAAAGACATTTCCACTTTAATCCACTTTAACACACAACGTCAGGTTGGCACTATTTGTGTTTATAGAGAAATAAAAAATATCACCAATAGACTTTTTGTGTTCAACACTACTCGTCTATTTCTCACAAAGCTAGAGGACAAGGTGTGAGGTTTTAGAGATATTTCAACTTTATTGAACCTTAACACACAGTGTCTTACAGTGTCACACCTTTACTGGTATCTTACTGCTAAGCTAAGATGCTACAGACGTAGCGCTCCACTTCTTTCAAGCATCCTACTTACCATGTATATGATATATTTTTATGATCCTAACCCCCCTTCCAACTGCCCGCATTAAGCTTGCTAAGCTGGCAAACAAACAACACAGAGGTGTCTCTAACTCCTCCTGTGAGCACCACCTCCTGTGAGCATTCTGCTGTGGCAGGAGATGCAGAGGAGAAACACTGGCTGCTGGAGAGTTGTAGGGAACTGGAAAACCTGGAGTGAACTTTTAGTGGTTTGAGTATTCTCTTATTAATCAAGTGGAATGGATTTGTTCATGAAGAAACAGAAACAGTGCAGACTGAACTAATGTTTCATGGTAAATGTGGGGGGACACAAATCCCCTTCATATACAATAGTTGAAATGCCTATGTCTGGAGGAGAGGCTGTCTGAGCTGGAAGCTCGACTCTGTGCTTTTGAAAAACCATTAAATAGCCAGGCGCCCGTAGGCAACACAAGGCCACTGATGCTAGCTCACGTTAGCAGTTAATTCAATTCAATTCAGTTTATTTTTAAAGCGCTAAATCACAACAAAGTTGTCTCAGGGCACTTTACAGGAACATATTAGAAACCAGAGTTAAGCTGGGCGATGACCCAAGGTAAACTAAATGCTAAAACTAGGTCCCTGGTTCACCATGGACCCGATCACGTTTTGAATAACGTTTCAAAAGTGTTTTCTCCTGTTCAAAATCTCATTTTAATTCAATTCAGTTCATTTATATAGCACCAAGTCACAACAGAGTTATCTCAGGTCACTGAACAGAAACATTCATATATAAAAAAATAATAAATTAACACTATTTATCTGAGGAGCAGACTGCTTTGAATTTAACTCCATCACAGAACTCTCATCTTGAACAAGTATTAAGGCAACAGTGGAAAGGAAAAACTCCCTTATGCAGAAGAAACCTTTAACAGAACCAGGCTCAGGACAAGCTGCTTCAACCGGCTGGGTGGAGAAGAACAGGAAGGAGGAACAGATACACAATGGCAGGTCAAGAATTGCATGTTCAGATAGAAATAGTATTCTGTGTAGGTGTAGGCGGTAGAAAAGAGAGCTTTAACGTCCTTTTCAGGGACACCACCAAGTCATTGGTTCAGGTATGTTGACGACACCTGGGTTAAAATTAAATCTCAGGAAGTCCAACATTTTACTGACCACATCAACTCTGTGGATAAATACATCAAGTTCACACGAGAAGATGAAAAAAATGGCAGGTTGGCTTTCTTGGACTGTGAGGTCTCAGTCTCTGATAGAGGACATTTGCAAACTGAGGTGTACCGCAAACCCACCCACACAGACCAGTATTTGCAGTTTGACTCCCATCACCCTTTGGAGCACAAGTTAGGAGTCATCAGGACTCTGTACCACAGAGCAAACAGCATCCCCACTATCTCAGGAGCCAGGCAGAAGGAGAAATCTTACACAAGACAGGCTCTAGAGCAATGTGGATATCCTAACTGGGCCTTCCTGAAAGCAGAGAAGAAACCCAAACAGGACTCCAGTCAGCCAACAGGTGAAAAGGAGGAACCCAGACCCAGACCAGTGGTCATTCCGTATGTTTCCAGAGTATCAGAGAAACTGAGATGTTTATTTTCTAAACACAATGTCCCAGTGGCTTTTAAACCCCAAAATACATTGCGGCAATGACTGGTTCATCCCAAAGATCCAGTCCCCCGGCACAAACAGAGTAATATTGTGTATGCTGTTCAGTGTCAGGAGGGCTGTGATCAGTCTTACATCGGGGAAACTAAACAGCCACTGGCCAAAAGGATGGCCCAGCACTGAAGATCAACATCATCAGGCCAGGACTCTGCAGCCTACACTCTTCTCCAGGCCAGCGGTCACTCTTTCAGGAATGAAGATGTTCACATCCTGGATATAGAGGATTCCTGCTGGATTCCTTAGGTAGAGAAATTTACTAATTGGCTTTTATGTATGTGAATGTTCATGTAAAATGCCCTGAGACAACTTTGTTGTGATTTGGCACTATATAAATAAACTGAATTGAATTGAATTGAGAGGAACAATTGTTTGAGAGAGGAGTAAAGGAGGCCATCTTGTGAAAAGAAATTGTCCATCATTAAACAGGGGTGGAGGCCTCCGTGTTCAACTGTCCCCCTCTTACAATGCTGTGATTGCTAGTATCACTCAGCCCTCTGTGAGTAGTAAACAGCCATCAGTGTGCTAATGATCCATTGTTAGGCTGATGGTCCTTCTTGAGCATGTGATCAGCTGGTTCTGGTTGTCAGCAGCAAACTGGTTGATCCACTCTGAGAAGGTGCTATTTAAGAGACTGAGTTGAATACAGCACCTAAGACTGAGGAAGTCTTTCGGATGAAAGACGAAACGTTCTACATTTTTGTTGTTGTTTTGCTTTGTTTTGTTTTTTGAAAGTCCAGAGGACCAGATTTAACTCTTTTTATATATTTTTTTACCTGGATTATTGAGTATGCATCAGGATATTCAATTCAATTCAGTTTATTTATATAGCGCCAAATCACAACAAAGTTGTCTCAGGGCACTTTACAGAAACATTCACATAAAAGCCAATTAGTAAAGTTCTTTATCTAAGGAATCCAGCAGACAAGTTGAATCGGCTTCGTTGCCGTCTCCCATCCTGAGCAAGCACAGTGGCAACATCCATCCATCCATCCATCCATCCATCCATCCATCCATCCATCCATCCATCCATCCATCCATCCATCCATCCATCCATTTATTTTCTTCCGCTTATCCGGGGTCGGGTCGCGGGGGTAGCAGCCTAAGTAGGGAGGCCCAGACTTCCCTGTGGCAACAGTGGAAAGGAAAAACTCCCTTTTTAAAAGGAAGAAACCTCCAGCAGAACCAGGCTCAGGACAAGCGGTCATCTGCTTTGACCGGCTGGTTTGAGAGGACAGGAAGGAGAGACAGACGAACATAGAATGGTAGGTCCAGATATAGGTCCAGGTGTATCTGAAAGCCAAAAACAAACACATGTAGAATAGATAGAAAAAATAATTACAAATACAAAACAGGTTGAGCAGAGTAAGTAAAGACAGTAGCAGAGTGAAAATTGTGGTCAGTTTGTCTTCCAGCAGTCTAAGCCTATAGCAGCATAACTAAAGGACAGCTCAGGAAACCCAAGCCGACCCAAACTATAGGATTTAGCAAAAAAAAAAAGTCTTAAGCCTAGTTTTAAAACTGGACAATGTGTCAGCCTCAAGGACAGAGATTGGAAGTTGGTTCCACAAGAGAGGAGCCTGATAACTGAAAGATCTGCCTCCTATTCACCCAGTGGTTAAACGACAACATACGGCTAAACATGTCATCGCTGGTCAGGTTGGGGAGGGTGCCGGAGAAAACTACAGAGTCCTACATGGTTTTAGCAAAGTCACACACCGAAGCAACATTAATTTTAGTGACCTCCAATTGGCATAACCGGGTGTCATTACCGCCGACGTGAGTAACAATCTTACCGTATTTAGCCTTAGCCTTAGTCAGCAGTTTCAAATAAGATTCTATGTCGCCCTCTCTGGCCCCCGGAATGCATTTGACTATGGCCGCTGTAGTCCCTAAAGCCACGTTTCGGACTATGGAGCTGCCAATAACCAGGGTCTGCTTCTCAGCAGGTGTGTCACTGAGCGAGGAAAATCTATTAAAAATGTGAACGGGTCGGTGGTGAACTGGGGGCTTAGCCTTAGCACTACGCTTGCTCCGGACCGTCACCCAGCCGGCCTGGGGTCCCGGCTGCTCGGGGTCTGCTGGAGGACCGCTAACGGGCGCTAGCCTTTGTGGTTTTGTTCTTTCTACGGGGACCTGGCTAGCTACTGGTTTTTCTACAGCACGGAGCCGAGCTTCCAGTTCAGACAGCCTCTCCTCCAAAGCTACCATAAGACTACATTTGTTACATGTATCATTACCCCTAAAGGAGGCAGAGGAGTAACTAAACATCTGACACACGGAGCAAGTGAAAACAGAGGAAGCAGGGAGAGAAGCAGCAGCCATGCTAAGCTAACGCTAGCAAGAGCTAACAGAGCCAAATACACCAATAAAAACCGAGAAGTGTTGAAAGATAAGAGGTGTTTTAAGCACTATCCAACAGAAAAACTACTGTATTAAG